GCGAAAAAGACGGAATTCGGAGGAGGGATACCGAATCGGGCGGTGTGTTGTCAAGTGGAGAATTGTAGAGCTGATTTAAGTAAGGTGAAGGATTATCATAGACGTCATAAGGTTTGTGAGATGCATTCAAAAGCTACTAGTGCAGTCGTTGGAGGAAATATGCAGCGGTTTTGTCAGCAATGTAGTAGGTAAGGTTTAGAAAAGGAATCAACTTTAGCATTTGTCGAGGGCTAAATCGGTGTGAGTAATCAGATAAACAAACTTCATGCAGGTTTCATGTGCTTGAAGAGTTTGATGAAGGAAAGAGAAGTTGCCGTAGACGTTTGGCTGGGCATAATAAGCGTAGGAGGAAACCGAATCCTGATACTATTGGCAATGGGAGTCTTTCGAGTGATGATCAATCAAGCAATTATTTGTTGATTAGTCTCTTGAAGATACTCTCCAATATACATTGTAAGTTGTTCGTGAGAGTTTCAAATTTTAGTCTTAAAAACGCTCAAATTAGCTGTTAATTATGTGTTCTGTTTGCAGCCAATCAATCGGACCATTCAAGGGATCAAGATCTGTTGTCTCATCTTCTGAAAAGCCTCGTAAGCCAAGCTGGTGAACATATAGGGAAGAGTTTAGTTGGGCTTCTTCAGGGAGGAGGAGGACTCCAGTCTTCTCAAAATATTGGAAATACCTTGGCTTCGCTTTCAATTGAGCAGCGAGACGATATAAGGCATCATTCGGTTAATGTACCTGAAACACCTTGGCAAGAAGTCTATGCCAATGGTGCTCAAGAGACAGCTGCCTCGGATAGGTCCGAAAAGCAAGTCAAAATGAATGATTTTGATTTGAATGATATTTACGTAGACTCGGATGATACTATAGATATAGAGAGATCATCGCCTTTTCCTACAAATCCAGCAACCAGTTGTCTTGATTATCACCAAGACTCGCGTCAGTCTAGTCCGCCTCGGACTAGTAAAAATTCAGATTCAGCTTCTGACCAATCACCTTCAAGTTCCAATGGAGATGCTCAGGTACGAATCTCACTTTTCATCCATTCATTTTTCGTCAGTGAGAATTCACTGTAACTTTTTCTTTGTTTTGTTTTGGTCACATCTTCAGAGCCGCACAGATCGGATTGTGTTCAAATTATTTGGCAAAGTACCGAATGATTTTCCAGTTGCCTTACGAGGACAGGTATATAATTTCTGCAGTTTGTTGCATTACTTTGTGATTTGGAAAGTGACATTCATGTGCTGTAATATTCGAAAATTCTCAGATACTTGACTGGTTGGCTCATAGTCCAACTGACATAGAGAGCTACATTAGGCCTGGTTGTATCGTTTTGGCCATTTATCTTCGTCAAGATGAAGCTTCTTGGGAAGAAGTAAGAATTACTTTCCCACTTTTTTCTCTTCTCTTTCCGCATTGTCATCTGTCTCATGGAATCACTTTCCGTTTCTCTTTTTTCTTGCAGCTTTGTTGTGATCTGAGTTTCAGGTTGAAGAGGCTTCTCGATGTCTCAGATGATCTTTTTTGGACAGATGGGTGGATTTGTGTTAGGGTGCAAAACCAACTCGCATTTGCGTTTAATGGTGAGTTTTGAGAATTCTTGGATTTATGTTATGGTGTCCATACTTTTGCGATGATCTAAGTATGTTTCTTATTCCGGACTACAGGTCAAGTTGTTCTTGACACATCTTTACCTCTAAGAAGCCATGATTATAGCCAAATCATTACTGTTAGACCGCTCGCTGTCACAAGGAAAGCTCTATTTACAGTGAAAGGCATCAATCTCCGTCGACCTGGCACAAGGTATGTTTGTATACTCTTCGAAGCTTGACCCTTGCTATCTTCTCCTGTGATGCTAATTGCCATTATTACAGGTTACTTTGTGCTGTAGAAGGAACATACTTGGTTCAGGAAGAAACAACAGGAGTGATGGAGGAAAGAGATGAACTTAAGGAGAAAAATGAGATTGATTTTGTCGAATTTTCTTGTGAGATGCCTATCACAAGTGGTCGAGGTTTCATGGAAGTGAGTGTACTTTCACTTTCATTCTCTGTTTTCTCTCTTGTTGCAGTGAGGTCTAATGGTTATAGTTTGCTTGACAATAATTTAGATTGAAGATCAAGACGGCCTAAGCAGTAGTTTCTTTCCTTTCATAGTATCTGAGGACGAAGACGTTTGTTCTGAGATCCGAAGACTCGAAACCACATTAGAGTTTATGGGAACTGATTCTGCTATGGAAGCAATGGATTTCATCCACGAAATCGGGTGGCTTCTTCATAGAAGTGAACTCAAGTCAAGACTTGCGGAATCAGATCATAATCTAGATGATCTATTCCCTTTAATACGGTTTAAGTTTCTACTCGAGTTCTCAATGGACCGAGAATGGTGCGCTGTGATCAAGAAGCTATTGAATATACTTTTCGAAGAAGGAACCGTTGATCGATCCCCGAATACCGCATTATCAGAAATGTGTCTTCTTCACAGAGCCGTGAGGAAAAACTCAAAACCATTGGTGGATATGCTTCTTAGATACATTCCCAACAAGCAACAGACATTATCCGGTTTGTTTAGACCCGATGCAGCTGGTCCAGCCGGTTTAACACCGCTTCATATTGCAGCCGGTAAAGACGGGTCAGAAGATGTGCTAGATGCTCTTACAGAAGATCCTGGAATGGTGAATTTGAATTTTGATTTCCCTCTTCAAAATTCTTACACTCAAAATCG